TGGAAATTAATGGCATGAAGCGCGACTTTGAGGCCTGGCCACGCCCCTTTAATATAAACGAAAACTCAAGCTTTAGATAACTTTTACTCTCCAATGTCTTAAGGGCATATCAACCAAGTTTGAAGGCAATCCTTCAAAATCCCTAGGAGGAGTTTGTTAAAATTTGCAATTAGAAACGCCCCAAAATGATCCTTTGACCTGAAATGGCTGACTTCCTGTTGAGTTTGGACCATGGCTCCAAGAGACTTTTTCATAGGTCATAATAAGATATATAAGCACACCGAGTTTCAGAATTATCGGTCCAAAAATGGCTTTGGGCTGAGGTTTTAAAATATTCTAGGGGGCGCTGTGGAGGCTACTGGCCATTTATCATGGCTGTCTGTTCAAGGGGTGGATAATGATTGATCATAGTGATTTAGGTTAACCACTGCTCAAATCTGTGGAATTTAGAGCCCAACGTATGGCGACGGTGTTACGTCTTACTTCGCCACGCTGCGCCGCCCACATGCTCCACCCAAAACTGTCAGTGTTGGAAAGCAAGTTACACCAACATGTCTTCGGTGACTGGACACACTATCATGCTGATTAGATCACAGGGGTCAGATAGGGACCGTTCAACATAAAACTTTACACTTCCTGTTGTCAAGGGGCGTGTCTTAAGTAATGTCATGATTTGACCATTCAGTCTTGCAGGGGACCGGATGTGGATCAGTCATTGAAGGTTTGATGTCTCAGACAGTTTTTGTGTATGAGCTATTAGCGTTTCGTTTTTCATGGCAAGATGTCAAACTTTTGAGGTCTGGCCCCGCCCAATGTGACGTCACAGCTGGACAGCAAGGCCAGATGGGATCAGGGTGACAAGCCAGGACGGAGCCAAACCTTCCCCGCCAGATCATCCGATCAGGGCGCAGGGAGGCAAGGGACGGAAAGTCCCTTTGTGTTAGCAGCCTCCTGGATTTTTTTTTTTCATTGAACCTTTATTTAGAAAGGTAAATCCCATTGAGCCTCGAGGACTCATTTACAAGAGAGACCTGATGAATTAGAGACCTGACAATTATGCCGGGCAGCTCCGAGAGGAGGGCGCCGACGGCTGGAAGCAGTGTGGTCGCCAATGTGGGAAGATCCCGAGGTGGCTGAGCATCCATTCGACCACTCTTCTTCCATCACTACGCTCTCCAGGAGGGAAGGGGCAGCGAGGTTTTTTCCAGCATCGCCTTTCATGGAGGAATCATTCGATTCATTGCGTGACTCTGCGTCAAAGAAAGGGGGTGGCGTACTCTCACGCGTAGCGTCCCGCCACGGAAAAAAACACTCAGCAGAGCTGCTGCCAACAACGCCTTTTTCGAGGGAATCATCCGATTCACCGCGAGGAAAACACGTTAGAAAAGGCGGTGGTGTCGTCCAGCGAGTAGCGGCACTCTACGGAAATAAACACTCAGCGGAGCTGCTGCTAACATTGCCTTTTTCGAGGGAATCAGCCGATTCACTGCGAGGAAAGAAACGTTAGGAAAGGTGATGGCGTCGTCCAGTGGGTAGCGGCCCTCCACGGACAAACACTCAGCGGAGCTGCTGCTAACATCGCCTTTTTCGAGGGATTCATCCAATACACCGCGAGGATAAAACGTTAGAAAAGGCGATGGTGTTATCCAGCAGGTAGCGGCCCGCCGCAGAAAAACACTCCTCGGCACTTACCTATTCCTTATTCTCCAGCCCACACCCTTCGGTCTTTAGCGCTGAATCATCTTAAGGTTCTTCTTAAGGAAGAGCTCACCGGGACGGTAGGAGGTTGGCGTGGCGGAGACCTAGGCTTCTTTAGCAAAAGTTGTGCCTGTCAAAGCTGGACATCTTTTCCTCCTTTGTTCTTCTGACAGTGCTAGCTAGCTGGCTGTAGAAAAAATGTGAGCCGATTACCCGGTATCACCATAATTTATACGGACCGGGGATGAGGCCCACACAGCAGGTGGGCGTGGACTAAAGTTTTTAGTGCTGCGCTGCGCACGAAGGGATAAACCAACTAGCAATAGCCTTAAAGGGCAAAGCCTATACGAAATAGAACAATGTTGCCACCAGTGCTAAATGCCCTTTATGAAGGAGCTCTCGTGGCTGGAAACAAAGCTATTTCTCTGCCAGCCTTGCCTTTCTTGGAAAATTAGCCTGGTTAGTAAAATTAGTCTAACCCTGAATGCTAGAAAACGCCTTGTATCTGTGACTTTCCTTCCCTCAATTGATTTTGGTGATATTATTTACATGAACGCTCCTACAAGAACCCTGCAGATGTTGGATGCTGTCTATCATGGTGCACTAAGATTCATAACTGGCTGTGATTATCGTACCCACCACTGCACCCTGTATTCACTGGTTAACTGGACATCATTAACTTCACGCAGACTCTCCCACTGGTACATTTTCATCTTTAAATCACTTCTTGGTCTGTTGCCTTCATACATCTCCTCCTACATGTCTCTGCGTGAGTGCAGCTACGGAGTGCGCTCTCAGGACATTATTACCTGCAGTGTTCCCTCAGTGAGGACTGAACTAGGCAAAAGGGCCTTCTCCTACTCCGCTCCTGTTTCCTGGAATATCTTACAAAAAGATTTGAAGCTCTCGACCTTGACCTCTCTAAGTGGCTTTAAGAATCTGTTGGACTCCTGGCAGGGTCCAATGCTGACATGTTCCTGTTTTTAGTTTTATACATTTGTCTTGGAATCTAGCTGTTTTTTTGGTTTTGTTACCTTTTTCCTTTTAGCCATCCTATTTGT